CCCCCTTAGAGTGGTTGGCCAGGGGGCCCCTCAGGGGCCCCTAGAGAGTCTTCTAAGGGGGGGCCCCCTAGAGGGGCCCCCCAGGGGTCTTCGTATTAACTCCGATTGGTCTCCTTCGCCTAGCCCTAGGAGGCCCCGGGGCCCCTGTGCATCAAAGGAGGGGCCCCCTGCACTTCCCGCATCGAGTCAATTAATAGATACACCTCAGGATGAGTTTGTTACTCCTGTAGGGGCCCCCGAAGAGGTTGAGGAGGGGCCCCTTGAGGGGGGCCCCCAGCCTTCCCTCAATAGAGGAGAGGCAATGGGGTACCCAGGCCTTTTGAGGGGCCCCACTGAGGAGACAGATGCAGCAGAGGGGCCCCCTTCCCTAGGCTTAGCCTCGGATGAGGGCCCCCTTGGGGATGGTAGCAGAAGAAGCGTAGCAGAGACAGAAACAAATGCGTTAGAGAAGGCCCTTGGGGGCCCCCAGGGGGCCCCCACTCGGGGACTGGATGAAGCAAACCCCGTACTTGCTTCAGTGCGCCGCGCTCGGTGGGCTTCAACGCATTTGTAGTTGCATTTAGGGTTTTAGGGTTTAGGGTTTAGGGTTTAGGGCTTAGGGTTTAGGGTTTAGGGTTTAGGGTTTAGGGTGTAGGGTTTTAGGGGCTAGGGTATGGGGTTTGGGTTTTAGGGTTTTAGGGTTTAGGGTTTAGGGTTTAGGGTTTAGGGTTATTGCGTACAGGGAGGAGAGGAGTTTGCGCGCTCCTCTGTCTCTTGATGAGGAGACAGAAGGAAGCATTGCTGCTGCCTTTGATGATGAAGAGGGTATGGGTCTGGAGGCCTTTAGAGACAAGGTTGTGGGGCCCCTCTTAGGTCTGGGCCCCTTCTTAGCGGGTGGGTAGTAGCAGCAAGCTGCTGCTGCTTCAGGGCAGCAGCAGCAAAGCAGCTCCTTCTGTCTCCTTTTCTGTCTCTTCTTCACTCCTAGCAGATGCGACGCCCCTCCAGTAGACCCATCTATGAGAAAGTAGCTGCTGATTTGGGTTTAGGGTTTAGGGTTTAGGGTTTAGGGTTTGGTGTTCAGGGCCTCTCTTTAAAAGGATAGACAGCGACGGGTCCGGGGTGTTGACTCCGGAGAAGTTGAAGAGGTGAGCGCATGCGTGCATGCATGCATGCATGCATTAGCAGGAGATGTTTGGGGCTGCATGCGGGGTGTACGTACACCGTAGGAAGTATATTAGAGGTTTAATGTATAGGATGACTTGAGTTATTGCTGAGGGTTTTCTTATCTCCGTTGCTGCTTTTGCTGTTGCGACTTGGGGTGTATATGCAGCTTCTGGAGGGGTCGTCTCATTCTTAAAACAAGAGACCCTTCTCTAAATGGAGGCGTTGCTATGCCTCCTCTCCCCACATACGGGGGGGGCCCCCTCGCGGAGACCCTTGAGGTCGAGGAAGACCAGGGGGCCCCCTTGGGGGCCTCCCTGGGGGCCCCCGTCCTCACTAGAGGCAGTCTTATTAACTTCATGGGGGCCCTTGCAACGAGGGGCCCCTCCATATACCCAGAAGACCTCAAGCCATGGGTGCTGGGTGAGCTGCACGCGCTCAACAATCCTAGATGTAGGGTTTAGGGTTTAGGGTTTAGGGTTTAGGGTTTAGGGTTTAGGGTTTGTCTTTGCTGTGGCGGGGATGCAGAAGTGGCGCACTGCGCACCCGACATGGCCTTTCTTCTGGATCCGCAATCCGAGGAGTACTTAGAGAAATATGGTGAGTGAAGGCCTTAGGGTTTAGGGTTTAGGGTTTAGGGTTTAGGGTTTAGGGTTTAGGGTTTGAGGATTGGGGCTTGTGTTGTTTTGCGGTGCAGTGGATTCGGTTGTTGCGCGCATCATGTTCTACGTTGACGAGGACTCTAAGGGGTGGCTCTCAATGCGAGTGAGAATAAGGGTTTAGGGTTTAGGGTTTAGGGTTTAGGGTTTAGGGACTCCAGGCTGGTTCTTGCATGAAAGCGGGTTACCTGGGCCATGCAGTGTGGGATTACGGGGCTTTGTTCAGGCCCCGTAGATACCAGAGGCTAGGGTTTAGGGTTTAGGGTTTAGGGTTTAGGGTTTGTGTTTAGGATCTGAGGAGGAGCCCGCTGGTGCATGTTTGGTGTAGCCTCAACCCCTCGGTGGAGTTAAGCGTCATCCGCAAGTTTTTTAGGTTTGTCTGTGGCCTAAGATTATACTCAATTTGCATTGTTAAGCATTTATTAGGGTTTAGGGTTTAGAGGTTAGGGTTTGGGGTTTAGGGTTTAGGGTTTAGGGGTTAGGGTTTAGGGCTTGCACTTCTGGTTGGGGTGTATGCGCACATTGGGGTGAATGTACACCTTAGTATGCATGCAAAGTTTGGGGTGTATGCGCAGCTATGATCATTTTTATGTACTTTACTGCGCATTTCACGAACTTGATGAAGATGATGACTTCCTTCTACACCGCAGCGATGTTTGCATCATTTGGGATTTGGGATTTGGGATTTGGTCGTAGACCTA